TTTTTTTAAGTTTTTCTTAATTTTGTTGTTGTATTTTAATAGTATTAATTTTTTTGACTCTTCTGTTTCTGAATTATGCATGCTATATTCTGTTATTAGTAATGCTATTTTGTCTATTGTCTTTTTATTTTCTAGACCTTTAAGAATTTTATCTTTACTTTCATTTAATATTGCTTCTGCTTGCTTATTTGATCTGTTATTTCTTTTTTTACTAACTAATTCTAATTCATCTTCAGAATGCTTTTACTTGAGACTGCTTTCTTAAACTATTAATTATGTTATTGGTACTTCTAGTTCGATTTTGTTTTAATTTTAATAAGCTTTATTCTCTTCTAGTTGCTTAATTGTTGTTTTCTCTTTTTTGTTCTTTGTAGTATTTCTATTTTTCTTTAAGCTTGTATTTTTTCTTTTTAAAAATAATTCTTAAGTTGCTAGTTACATTGTTGGTAATTTTATTTTTATTTTTGTTTCATCATTTTGATCTTACTTTTTTTTATTATAGATTATATTTTGCATATTACTTCTATGTTTTATTTTTATCTAATTAACTAAATATCTTTCTTTTACTGTTATATTTTTTTTCAAAAGACTTTTAACTATATCTCTATGTTTGTTTATTAAGACTCATAATATATATTTATATTGAATTACTTGTTTTTAAGAAATTTGCAATGTTCTTATCTATCTATACAATATGTTCTTTTTGTTTATTTAAACAAGCAAGCTTTTCTGCTTCTTTTATTTAAGTTATAAAGCTCTTTAAGATTTGTTATTATTATCTTGTTTTTATTTGCTATTTTATCTATCTATAGTGCTTGTTTCTAGAAGTTTCTAAACTATTTACTTGTACTCTAGTTAGATACATATTAGTTAGTTAGTTTGTTTACTTAAGTTTATATATTTGTTTACTTTTATTTGTTTATATATTGATTAATTAGCTCTTTAGAATTGCAACCAGTTTTTAAATTTTTCTAAAAATTTTCTAAAAATTTTGAAAGTTTTTTTTTGTTTTGTGTGAGTATTTTTTCTAAGAAGTTGCTTTAATAAACTGTTGCTAGTTTTTAATTTTGTTTCTTTTCTTCTAATATTAAAGAGTCTGTTTTTTAAAATAAATTTTTCTGAAACTTAAGTTTGTTGTTTTTGTATCTTATAAAATTAGAAATTAGTGAAGAAAGTATTGTGCTAAGTAGTAATTAAATATTTGAATAAGTTTTTTGTTAAAAATAAAGTAATTCTAAAAATAATTATATATATCAGATATTTTAAATATGTAATCTTAAAAATATTACTATAAAACAAGATAGATTATATATACAATAGACAAAATTCATAGTTAACTTACACAAATATAAAATTTATATAGTAATGTATAGACTAACTATTTAAATTAGATACCAAAAGTGCATATGAGACTTTTATATAAAAATATTCTTGGAATCATTTATATTTAATAAATTTGAATAAAAATATTGTTTTTTAAAAATAGAAACTTCAACTTAAAAAACAAAATTTAAAAATTTTTTAAACTTAAATATTTTAAAAAATAGATTTAATAAACTTATAATTTTATTTATTTTTAATTTAATATTTTATTAACTGTTTTATATAAATTTTTAAAAATATTTACAATAATATACTACTTTCTTGTATTAAAAAAAGTAATTTAAACAACTATGTATAAAAAAATATAAAATAAATATAAAATAAATATTTTTATTAATAATAGTTTCAAAAACTAAAAAAGTTTTATTTTTATTATAAAATTAATTAATATAATATTAATAAAAAAAATATATATAAAAAATAATGATTCTAATATAGTAATTGAGTTATTATTTTTCAAGTAATAGGTTTAAAGTTCAAATTCTACTAAAAGCAAAATTTTAAAAAATGATTCTATTTTAACAACTTGGATGAAATATTTAAGGTTGTAACCTTATAATTTTGATTATACTAAAACTAATTTTAAAAGTATATAATATTATACAAATAAATTTGAAAAATATATATTCTATAAGAAGTTTTATTTAAAATTTCTGAATAGAAAGATAATACAATCTTCAATAATATTATCTATAAAAATCTTGATTTAAAAAAGAAAATCTGAAACAAATGATCTGTACAAGCAAGAATCCTAGATAAAAAAAATCCACCAATCTGACTACCAGTTGATTCAAACATAAAATTACATTATGTAAAACTTACTAGATTGATAATATAAAAGAACTTGTAAAAATAGATAAAACATCAGTAAGATTGTAAAAAAAGGTATTGAAATTATATAAACTTTACAAGAGTATAACAATTTAATAATTAACTATAACTGCAAGTGTTGACTTAATCATAATAATATCAGGTTAGCTATAAATAGAAATACAAAAGATTCTGAAAAGTTTACTTCAAAAATAAATTAGTTCTAAAGTTGAGATAAGGATCCAAAATAACTTTGTAAAGTTAACATGAGATACAAGTTCAGAATATTTAAAATGAAACACCCAAACAGAGATGTTAGGTACAACAATTGGTGAGGAACCTTTGGACAGACTTCTTAAATAGGTAATATAGAAAAGTTACACATGTAACCAGTTGTATACTCTTTCTATAGTAATTCCAACATAGAACTACATTACCTAAAAAATGTTAATAAAGTCAAAAGATCCAAAAGGTCACCTTAATACCAAAAAAAAAAGAATATGTAACGAGAATATATTGCTTTATTATAAAAAAAAAACAAATTAATTGATAAGAATTAATATCAAACAATCCTATTTGAATATCGTTGTTTAATTTCGTAACTGATTTTTGGGCGACTAGGGAAAACCTGTCATCGGGCTTTCAATCATATTTTGTAAATTTGTTAGGGATACTAATATAATTGAAAACCTGATAACAGTCTTGACGGCACTCATATTAAAACTTTGCTAAATACATATAAAGTGATTATTTATACAAAATTTTTTTGAATTACTAAAAAATTTTTGTTTAAAGAATGCACATATAAGTCCGAGCTGTAAAATCTCACACGTATAGAGTACAGAGAAGTGCACTTAACACTAAGTCCCAAGATTCTACTATGTATTTTATTAATCACTATGGTGCATGACATTTATTAGTGCCAATTAATTTTATGTATGGTGGATCGATAAATTGATAAAATTAAAGTATCTATTCGTTCTATATGAATAAAAAGGTCATTTTGTAATCCAGCGATTAGAAACCAATGTTCTTTATATCCTTGATTCATCTGGCGAGAAAAATTGAATGACATAAAAATCATTAGACTATTCGATAGGCCTCGGTATTAACTTCGATATTATTTTACCCACCCACCATATTACTCTCTTTTATAAAAGTTAAAATTTTATTAAATAAATCAAATATTAGCATATAAAAGCTTGATATGAATTAAGTAACTTTTTATTGATATAATTTTATTTTTTATGTCTTACAAAATAGTTAGAACCAGGTTTGAAAATTTGGTTATGAGTTTAACTTAGATTTGGAATTTACGATATAAAAACCTGGTTCTTGGATTTTTAGTATGAAACCTGAAGGTTTTAGAAACTAAACCAAACCTAAACTAACTTTACCATTCTTAAATGTTCATCAGAACAGGATCCTCATTTCCTTGCTCTTGACTTAATGGTCCGACTGGCTGACGAATCTGCTGTTGCTGTTGAAATTCAATCTTTGATATGATTCGACTATTGCTTGAATTTAGATAACCATGCCCACTTGTTGAAGGTTTCGGCCCACTACTGCTAGCTTGTGCATTTCTTAATTGCTCCTGCATCATTATAGTGTTTTTTTTGAATGCCAAACGTTCATTGTACAACAATTGACGTTGTTTCTCTAGTTCTTTCTTCTCGTTCTCGAGTGCATTTTCTAATTCTTCAAACTGTTGAAGTTTAAGCTCAAGCTTTTTCAACTGGTTTTCAATGACTGCGTTGACAAGGCGTTGAATTTCTCGTTCTTCATAGTCTGCGAGTACTTTTGCTTTCGCAGCTGCCGCACCCATTGCTGTTGCACCAGCTCTTTCTAATAGCTTTGGACGAGGAACGGTAGAATCAGAAGTCGTCGCTTCTTCTGGAGTCTGTTCTGGATCTGGTTTTAGTTCAGTCACTCCCTCTGTATCCATTTCGTCACTATGTTTAACATCAGTCATCGGTGTGCTTGCAGCTGTTTCACTTGGCTCGCCGGATCTTACTCCGTTGACGCCATTTATTTCTTTGTTTGTTGATCTTTTGTTGTGAAGAGATAGTTCCTTCAGTGCAGACTTTGCTGCCGCAGCTGCGACGCCTGGATTAACTACTGACGCTAAGAAAGCAACCACTGACATAACAGGATTGTCCGCCTGACTGAAAGGTATACGTTGATACTGAAGTGGTCCCAAATCTGACATTTTTGTTTCGTTAAGTGGATCTTCAATTGGGAATTCCAAAAAGTGTAAAATGCATTGCTCCTGCGTACGAGTGCCAACATGCTCAGAGATCTTATTCCAATCATCTTCATATAATTCTACACCTTCTAAAAGGCTCAAATTTTCTTGCTCTGTCCAGTCATCATCTTGTGCATGCTTGAACGGTGTTTCCTCCATTTTCAAAAAGTCTCCGCTATACATTGATGTAGGATATCGTCCTTCCAAATAACAATTTGGACAAAGTTCATAGTTTTGAGTCTTTACACTATGGTAACGAACACGAGTACAGTTAACACCACACGTAACACAATGATATTGTTTTTGTTCATTTGACCCTGAATCAGCAGCAACACTCCCGGTTTCATCTTGTGAGCCCGGAGTGGCGGCTGTATTTACTCCAGTTTGATAAACATTTTGGCGAAGACCAAAAACTTTATCGACTTTTGGATTTGCAGCAGCGGATGATTCAGTAGTGATACCAGATACTGCGTTAACTGTAGACGTGGTCGCAACAGAACTTGATAAGGTAGCTGAAGGTCCAAGTGGTTGAAAAGGTTGAAGTCCTCTTGGAGTATCTGCTGTGATACGAAAATGTCCTGTGAAAGAAGGTCCAACCGGAGATGGTCGAGTATCCGGATCAACCTAAATTAATTTTAAACAGAATTACTAGTTAAGTAGAGCCTCATATAAGAAAATCAATAAAAATTACTTACTTGATAATTAATTAAACCCCACTGTTCTAAAAAAGCATGTAAGCGAATAACCGCACACACATCGCCAGCCAAATTTCTACGACAGGCTGTTACTGTCAGATACTCCCCAGGATTAAGGCGATAAGTATTTATTATAAAATCTCTATATTCTTTGTATATGCTGGGATTTTTCGATTTGTTTCTGTTATTAAAAAACTCTGGCAAGGATTTCTTCTCGATAGGATGAACGGTTGACATATTGAACCAAGCAGAGTATGAAGGAATCACAATTTCTTGTGTTTGTTCTGATAAATATTTACGGGCTTCTTCTTCAAGTCGTTTCTTTTCGTCTTCATCATTGGCAGAAAGAACCTCTTGGGGGATGACGGTATCAGACAAAGGCTCATTCGCATCATCTTCTAGTTGCCTATTATCATCTGTAGTCGCCATGTTTTCATCTTCGTCCAACTCTTTTGCTGCAGAATTAGGCGAAACTTTATGCTCGGTACGTCCACTGGATATGTTTTGCTCTTGTTCAGTCATCTCAACATCAATATCTAAGTAAAATCGTATGAGTATTTTCGTAAATAATAACAATAACCTTATTAATTTTTATAATAATTATATATTTTAAATCTTACTATTACTGTTTGCAGGAATTCGAACACCTTCCATGTCTGAAGTTACATTATCTGTGTCTGCATTCTCGTCTATAACTTCAGGATCTTCAAGATCCTGTTGTGTATCTTCCTTGGTAGTTCTTTCTGGTGGAACTAATTGTGAAATATTTGCAATGTCTCCACCAATTAAGGGGTCAAATTCGTTTTTCCTCGTACGAATGCCTCCTACACGTGACGCTTCTTGTTCAATATCTACAAGTGACATATTCGGATGTTCTGGTACTGCGTCATGTTCTGGTGATCTTAACCTCGGACGCTTGGCATCCGTTGTTGGACGAACATCAACATCCATGTTCGAAGGTGATTCTAATGAATCCAAGGTTCGTTTATGCGATGGTGAAGCCTCTGATTCTGAAATACCAGATTGTTCTTCAACTGCCAATTTTGAATCAGTTATCTCGTAGTCTTCTTCGTTCATCCACTCATTAAATTCGGTACTATCCCTGAGCCATCGTTCTGATACGTTCCAGGGACCGTGATGGATTGGATTTGGTTCAGGATCTGCATGTTCACCTTCGTCCAGCCATGAGTCATATGAATCTGGGTAATACCACCAATGTAACAAAACTTTACCATCCTTTTTTTCTAAAGTTCTGTACCACTCTTCGTCTGCATCATAATTATGCTCATTTGTGGCATGTATAATATGTGTCGTTCTTGCAATATCATGAGTTACTTGCCCTAATGTCAACAAAAGATATTAATTAATAAATATTAGGTTTGGAACGCAAAATTATATTCTGTCATAAGTTAAAAGAAATTTACCTCCCAAGTTATTTATATGCTCAATCAGTTCTTGTCTATGTGTACCCCCTGCCACAGATTCTCCAAGTAATATCATAAATTTTTTAATAAATCCCTTAGACTCCAAGTGATTTCTGATCTGCTTTACCATTTCAATCAAATCATTTCGGTTAAGTTCCCAATCCCAACGTTTCCATTTTTTTTGTCCTCGAAATTTATATGCTGCACGAATAATATGATAGATCGGTGAGTTATGACCTGGCGGTGGTTCCAATTTAAATAGTTTTGCAGGGACTTTGGGGGGAATCTTATCAAATCGAGGAGCTAAACGTCCTAAAGCATCTTCTTGAAACTTCTGAAAGTGACCAAGAAATAATGAGAGATCCTTTGAAGTTACATTGGAAAGATCGGGATATTGCTGAGAAAGTTCCCGTATCAACTTTTCGCGAATCGTATCTAACCGCGTTATTGTGGCCGGAAGTTCATAATAATTTAAATCAATAACAAATTGTCGTCTACGTTGAGCCATTTTTAATGTTTGATTCAAAAGTTGTCTAAAGGCTTAAGGATTAAAAGAAAAAAATCTGATTAAATTTTATTAAAATGGCTTAGCCAAAAATGACATTGGACACGAGTGATAGGTAATATACTTTTGGGTCAATCAATTTGGTTACTATCATGCATTTTTATATAGGATCAACATCAACATAGGTTACCAAATGCCAACAGTGTACTACGTATGCGCGATAAACAGCTAAAGGCTCAAAACTAACTAAAATTCGATGAGCGCGAGATGTATCTTAGAAACGCTTTAAATCTACACATTTTTTTTACAATTTTATATACTGCAAGGTTAGTTGGTAAAAAAAAAACCTTTTACAGTGCTGGCCATGAAAACTGTATAAATTTTTAACAAAATAAACAGAATAATTAACTTAGGTTAATTAATCTAAAAAACAATGGCTTCATTAAATATTGCTATACAATTTATAATACGTATGCATATATATGTTTATTTGTTTAATTTTGGTAGTCTTGCTTTTATTTATACAATACTACATATGATATATATGTATAAATACATAAGCTAATAAAAGCTTACTTAACTTACAAATTCAAATGTACTCTATCTAAATAACTATTTATCTTATTTAAAATTTCTAATTTACTTTTTTTTTTTAAATGTTAAGGTAAGTACATGTGACCCAGGATTTTATTGATAGTATCAGTTGGCTAGCATCTGTTGATGTAACAGCACAGAGACGATCATAGAAAGAGTGTACAACTAGTTACTTGTATGACTTTAGTTATTGTCTAATTTAAGTAATTTGTTCAAAGGTTCTATAATAGTTGCTATATCTAGAACCCATCTGTAGGTTCTCTATTTAAACACTCTGCTCTTGTATTTACCACACCCTATCAATGATTTCAGTAAACCAGTAAAGATATATCATAATCATTAAGTTATGTTTAACTTTGTACTAAATCTACTGGTGTATTCTGTATTTCATATTTACAGCTCATTTAGTATCACTTTGGTCTAAACTATTACTTGCAGTCAAGGTTAATCATTAAACTATTATATCTTTATAAAGTTTATCCAAAACTTCAATACTTAGCTTTCTGACATCTTCTTTATTATCTTTTACTAATCATTATTTAAGATCAACAGAATTTTTCAGATTTTTAATCTAGATAGCTTAGTATAATATATCTTAGTATTCTTTTCTTCTGATGATTCTGGTAGTCTGATTGGTCATATGCTTCTCTATACATCTTACTATATAGTTTATTTATCTATTCCTTTGAGAGTGTTTTATGGGTTTTTATTAGTCTGATAATTTTATCAAAAATTTTGTATTATCTCTTTAGTTAGGATTTCCAAGTGGGTTTTTAACTCTTTGGTTTCTTTACTTTTCACACCTGGTGGTTTTATTGTAAATTTGTACTAAAGTTTTATACAACATTGGTTATTAATATTCCTCTATATAGGTGTAATAGTACACTTTATATAAATATCTTAAGCTTCTATTTGAGATATTGTAATTGAAAGTTATAAATACATTAATTCAATTGATTGATAGAGACAGTTATTATAACACAGACCTATTTTCCAAAATTTGTTGTTTATGAAATTTAAACTCTAGACCTTTTACTTAAAAATTGACAATCTGATTACTTTACTAGGTTATTATACCCTCAAATTTTTAATTTACTAATAATCAGATTTTAGTTTTTTTTATTATATTTAGTAGATTTATTCTTGTCAATATTTGTGTTTTGGATTTTTTTTATACTTTAATTTTATTTATTTTTTTTTTTAAGCAGTTATATTAGTACTTTATTAAAATTCTTGAAATTACTTTTGTAATTATATAAAAACATCTAATAATTAAGTCTAGTATTACCTGATTATCTTAATAGTACCTAAATGCAATTTGTTATATTACTTTAAATAGAAATAAGTTGTTTGTCTAACTATTTAAAGTTAAATAAAAAGATTTTTACTTTTTTATAACAAGTTCTAATATATTTTTTTAGTTTTTTTTTAATTTATTTTTTTTAATTTATTTTTTTTCTGTTTTTTTTTTTGGTTTGCCTTTATTTTCTTGCTTGGGTTCTTTATTTTTTAAGTTTTTTTTTTATTTTACTTATTATTTCTTTTTTATTTTATTTATTAATTTTTTTATATTATTTTTTTTAAACTTGCTTATAAAAAATGTTTCAGATTATTCTTATTATTATATTTACAAACTATGTCTTGATTTTATACTTAAAAATTATACTAATCTGTTTTGTATTTTTTTTGAAATTAGGTTTTTAATTAGTATTTTTTTTATTTTTATTTTTTTATTTTTAAAATAATTTTTTTAGTTTTTTGACTTTTATTAATATTTTTTTTGATAATGTAGTTTTATAAAAAACTATTATAAAAAGAATATACAATTAGTTATATATATAATTTTTCTATATTACTTATTTAAAAAGTCTATCTGAAGGTTTTCTACTAATTGTTATATTTAATATTTCTATTTGAATATTTTATTTTAAATCTTCTGAATCTACATATTTTTATTTTTATTTATTATTTTTATTTTTCCTTAAGCAGTCACACTAATACTTTATTAAGATTTTGAAATTATATTTGCAATTACATAAATGTTCTTAACAACTAAGTCTAACATTATCTAGTCACCTTAATGATACTTAAGTGCAACTTGTTACATTACTTCAAACAGAAGTAAGCTATTTGTCTAACTACTTAAAGTTTATAATAAAAAGGTTTTCTCTCTTTTACAACAAATTTCAAAATTATCTTTTGTGTTTCTGTTCTGATTTGTTTTTCTTTTTCTCTTATTTTCTCTTTCTTTTCTTCTATTCTTTGCTAATTTGTCTTTTTTCTTTTATTTAATCTTAGCTTCTTTTTTTCTTTTTCTTTTTTTAACCTACCTATTATTTTTATTTTTCTTTTCTATTTACTAATCTTCTTATATCAGACTCTTTATACTTGTTTATAAAATGTATTTCAGACCATACTTGCTATTACACTTGCAAACTACTATTTTAACTTTATGTTTAGAAGCTGCTATAATCAATTTTATGTTTCTTTTGGAATTAGATCTTTAATTAAAGCCTCATTTCTTCTGCTTCTATTTTATCAAAAAGCATTGTATATAACATATATAAACTTTTTTTTCTTCTCTAAGTCTCTTTCAGACTATTGTGATAGTCCCTTTTTGGATTCTTTTTTATATATTTTTTTATTTTTTGTATGCTGCTAAATGCATTTGTATTTCTTTAACTTTATCTTTACATATTTGGTATTCAGTTATTGTATACAAATTTGGTCTTCTTTTGTTAAGTTCTTCTAGAATCAGAAGTTTGTTTATCATATATTTTATAAATATATTTCTTCTGACATTAATTCTTCTTGTTATACAATGCACTCCTTTTATCATTTTTAGCCTTTTCTAAAAATATGTCTAATTATAAATTATAACTTCTGATTCTGGTTCTAATTTTTTAATTGTTTTTGTTTCTTTCTATTCTGCTTCTAATCTTGTGTTCATTATTAACTTATATAGCAATCTTGCTAGTATGTTAATTTATTTGTTTTCCTACTCTAAATAGTACTCTATTTCTTTACAACTAACTTTTTCAATCTATATTATCTTCTTGCTTGTTGCTCTTTTCTTTGTCAGACTAATAGTTTTATTATTTCATTTATTTTTACTATTACTCTTTATTTTAACTAACTCTATCTAAATATTTTTTGTTGTAATAAGGTCTCTGATCTTTATTATCTATATTGTATTCTTCTTTTTAAGAATCTTGTTTTTATCTGTTTGTTCTAAACCTTTATTAATGTTTCTTATTGTTATATTACTATCTGTATATATTTCTACTTGCTTTTCCTTTAGTATTGTTAATATTGCTGTTTATATTGCTATTAGCTTAGCTATTATTGATGTTTGCCATCCTTCCAGGCCTATTGCTATTTTCTCTTCTGGTCATTTTTGTGTTTCATTTATTTGGACCTATCCTATTCTATTTTCAGTTACTATATCTTCTTTTGGTTTCATGTTTGCTATGCTGTCTGTATATATTATATACTTGTTTTTGTTTTTTGTTAAATTTCTTCTTAAGGCTTTTATTATTTCTTAATTGATGTTCTTATTTAGTCTTTGTTATTTAATTATTTCTATTTCTAACTTCTTTATTGCTCTAATCTTTTTTGTTTTTTAGCTTCTGGTCTTTTCATCTTTATTGTTTCTATTATCTGATCTATTGTTATATTAATTTTATTACTGTCTTTTCTTATTAAAACATCTGAAACTATATTAATTTTGCTATTTATTCTAATTTACTGTTAGCAGCTATCTTTTGTTCACTCTTTTGCTCTTGTACAGCTCTTGCATCGCTTTATTTCAACAGCTAATTTGGCTTTCTTACTTTGCATTTGCCAGTATTTTACTAGTATTTTCTTCTTCTTTTTAATTATTTTTCCTAACTGTCTATAGTTTTGTGTACTATATACTATCTATTCTTTTCTTCTCTTATTCTTTAAAATACTCTTATATTTAATTTGCATTGTCTGTGTATTTTTTCTGTTTGTCTTAAAGTGTCTTTTGATCTTTTTACTTTCTAATTTACTAAGCACTTTTTGTTCTATTATTTTAAACCAATCTGCTTTTTTTCTTTTGCTTAACAGATTTTGGTAATTTTTTAACTGTTGATATATAACTAATTTTTTTTTTTGTATTGAATAGCTAGTTTAGATATACTAAACCTTTTTCATTTATTCTAGTTTCACTTTTCTTTCATAGATTGGTATCTACAAGCTTATTTATTTTAGTACTATATCCAAATATTATCTATAAATTATCTTCTGTTCTTAATTTCTTTACTTTTAATATTATTAAACAAACCAAGTTATTTCTCTAACTGTTTGTGTTTCTGATATCTTCTTTAGTTTTCATATATCTTTTGTTAGACTTGCCCTTTGGCAGCCTTGTATTATTCTTAGTT